ACTTTAGTTTCACTTATCACCAACGGAGAAGTGAAAAGGGTGTCAATTACCTATTTAAATATATATTCTCAAGCACTAACATCGCAGTCACGCATTTGCAGCTTCTAAACAGTTATAATAAATTTTGTTTTCTATTGTCCTAGTAATCGTATGAGACATGGCAGTTTAAATCGACGTTTGAAACTCATTGAGAAGCACAGTGCGAGAAACTAGTAACGGCAAAACGATGACGACCAAATCTAAAACACAACAAGAAAAACACAAAATGTCGGAAATCGACGAAAATATCTCGAAAATATTTGATATAAAAAAGGTAAAAAGCAATTAAAATAACTGCGAATATCTGTTAGGTATAAAAATAATACTTCCAGTTCGCTTTTTAGAACAGACCTGGGCCCGAAATACGGCATTCGTGATCGAATCGTTTAAAATTAAAAGAACGAAGCTCACTCGCTGTCGAATACCGTAATCTCAAAATCAAAATTCGATGCAAGTACCGTTCGATATCGAGTGCCACCATTCGGGCCCTGTTCGTATTTTTCAGATTGGATTTCAAATTGGATAAGAATAGTAATTTCAAGTAGACTTTGGGTCGCTGAATCCGAATCCGAACTCAGAATTACACTATGCCATCAGTTTTTTTTTTAAATATCCGAACCTAAAAGTGCGGAGAATGTGTTTTAGGCCTATTTTTGAAGCTACGTAGAGCGCAGCATTGTATTTTAAAGTTACTCGAATACCTTGTTTTTCAACGCAAAATTGTAGCTGAGGGCCGGTTATACATCGTTATCGAAGTTACAAACTCTCTGTTATGCATGGAGTTGAAGCCCTCGATAACGATGCTCAACCGGAGATTAGTGTTAGGGCCAGTTTCTCAATATAATAGGGAGTCGATAACGTCGATAACCATGTTCAACCTGTAGTTAGTGTTAACCAGACATTGAGAAACTGGAACAGACAGTAAGTAACCGGCCCTAACGGCCATTTTATATAGTCGCGACTATCGATTGTGGGCGATATTTTTTTAAAACTATCGATAATCGCTTATTTTGAAAAAGATAGAAATTCTGATTGGGGCGTATTCATAGTCAAAATTAAGTTGGTACTTATAGTTGGTTGTAACTTTATTGAAAGATAACCCATCCAAAATTAGGTCAAAAAGCTACAACTAACTTTAAGTACCAACTTAATTTTGATTATGAATACGCCTCATTGCGTTAAATATAGATTTTTAAAGATCATAAGGACCTACCTTATTAATGAAAGTATAATTTAAAAACTAAACATATTTACGTATTCTGCTTTCTAAACCCAATTGTTTTTATTTAAGAAACATAGCATGGCAGCATTTTTAGGTTTTAGTTGCGACCTTTTTTCGTTCACTGTTAAAGCTGCTTTACTGTACATTCGTTCCGATTCTACTGATGACTTTAGGCCAACATAGTTGTCATATATGTATTCTTTTATATAAAGGTATTGCCGTTTTATTAAATGCACATTCACCATTTTTGTGTCTTAAATTTGGAAAATTTTCGATAGTGAAAATGATCGATAGTTTTCAAAAACTATCGATAGTGAAAAAAAAACAAAACCATCGATAGTATCGATAGTGCCATCGGTAGTTTGCCACCACTACCATACAGTTCTCCTATCGTATAATGAATATTCACCAAGCGAAGTAGTTCATTTCGAATCAGTTTCACTCTATGTGTACCGTATTTGCCAGTGAAATAACTGTCACTCGGGCAGATAAAATCGCAAAACAATTGCTAAATTTTCACTAATGTACTAAATAATCGTATGTATAACCTGGAAATTTCTATGTGAAATGGCGTTCACCCGAAATCGTCCCACATTCATGATAATGTGAACCATTTCGTTGAACGGAATTTTTCGGCAGTGAAATTTTTCACCAAATATTTATGATAAGGCCGTGACTAACAGAAGTATTTTGCATTGATTTTTTTACGATAATGATTAGCTGATGACAGATCTACATCATGATGTGTATTATTAAAATTGTGAATATTTTGAGTCCTTATTTATCACTTATAGCGAGCTTTTAAATAAAAAGTACGAATGATAAAAAATATTAACAAATAACTTACATATGTTGCGTGACGAAAAAACTAGGCTCAAAAATTAAGTTTTATTTTCTAAGCAAACAAAAAAAACTCAAAAACTAACTTTAATTTTCCTGGCTAAATTAAAAAAAAAAAACTCACAAAGAGACTTTTAATAAAATTCAAACCAGACCTGTTAAATGATGATTATGAATTATATGATGTTTTTTAAGATAATCGTTTAATGATTAAATACCATGATTTTAAATGATTACTACGATTTTGTATTATTAAATGAAAAAATCGGAAATAATGAAAAATATTTGAGAAAATAATTACATGTTGTTTTTATTATACTTGATGTTGTTTTAACTAGAAAAGTTATTAATTGAAAAAGTTTTTTAATTATATATATTATAAAACAGTCTGAGTTTCAAGTTAACTATGAAAAATAGTCCCTGAAATACAATGTATTAAAATTAAACTTTGTTAGAAAGCGTTGTAAGATTTTTGTATCATTCGTTAGTGGAGAATTTATAGCTTTTGAAAATCAACCTGGATTTTGAGATAAACTAAATTTTTAAGGCAGTCAAACTTGCCGATTATTGCTTAAATTCAGCTATATCATATAATTTTATCAACCTTATATTAATGAATTTTCTAGCGCTTGGGAAAGGGGGCCTATGGCATCGTATGGAAAGCATTGGATAAGCGCACAAATGAAACGGTGGCAGTTAAGAAGATCTTCGATGCTTTTCGTGATGAAACTGATGCGCAGCGTACTTTTCGGGAGATTGTTTTCCTGAAAGCATTCCACAATCATCCAAATGTTATAAGATTACTCACCGTATATAGGTTTGTAAACATTTCATGTCGAATTTCCAATAGGCATTGAAATCACAAAAAATGTTATGTAATGACCATTTTTATGAATGACACGGATATTTTTAATGCCCAATATAGTCATTCAGACTGATATACACCCCGCGACAAACGATAGCACATCAACATTTTCACCAGTTTTGAGTACTTTTCTAGCTCTTTATCTTTGTTATAAAAATTCGACAAAGTTTTCATCCCAACTCCAGGCATTTTAATTTTAATTTCTGGAAAAAAAAATTTATGCAGTTTTATAGCTTATTCTAGTACAACAAAGAGCAAATTTTAAGTTTCTAAAAACCCGCATTAATTTTTGATAGTTTTTTTGCTGACGGTGTTATGCACTCTTTTCCATATATTTAAAAAATTACCTTGTTGATACAATAATTATTCTAGAAATTAAAATTTAAATTTAAATACTTGGAATTGAGATGAAAAGTTTGTGGAATTTTTATAATTTTTGTACAAAGTCTGAGTCTGGTATTTATTAGATAAAGAGCTATACTTTTATATAAAAATAATGAACCTTAAAAAGTCAAAAGAAAAGTAGTCAAAACTGGTAAAAATTTGGATGTGCTATCTTTTGTCGCGGGGTATACATACATATGTACAAATTATGTAAATGGCATACTATTTTTTAGGGCTTCAAATAATTTGGACATATACCTTATATTCGAATACATGGAAAGTGATTTGCATAATATCATTAAGAAGGGCACTATTTTGAAGGACATTCACAAAAGATACGTAATGTATCAACTCATCAATGCCGTCAAATACATACATTCGGGAAATGTAATACACAGAGACCTGAAACCGAGTAACGTACTTATCGATAGTAAATGCAGGTAAGATTTTTTGGTATACTTTTCATAGAGCTTTTCTTCATCTTCCTCTATTTTTTTTTTTCAGATGTAAATTAGCAGATTTCGGCCTAGCACGTTCAGTTTCAAATCGACCTATGCGAGAGAGTAACGATGTAGGCGGTGAACCTATCGTTGAGCCGATACTAACGGACTATGTCGCAACGCGGTGGTATCGAGCGCCAGAAATTTTAGTCGCCAGCAAAAGGTATTTTCGGCTATGATTTTCATATGCAAAAATATTCACATACACACTTTCTGTTATACAAGGTATACTAAAGGAATTGACATGTGGAGTTTAGGCTGCATACTTGGCGAAATGATACGTGGAAAACCTTTATTTCAAGGCAGTAGTACTGTAAATCAGGTAAGTAGATCCTCGTCTCCTTGGAAGTGAATTAAATTGTATTTTACTTAATATCTAGATTGAAAAGATCATAACAGCTTTGCCAGAGATAACTGAACAAGACATTAATGCAGTGGGTGCTGGTTTCGGATCCGTCCTTCTGAGCAAACAGGTGTCACGCGAACGGTATTTTACGTATATACATACATATGTTCAATTACACAGCGCATAACATATCGCACATTTGTTGAAAGAATGTCGTAATCTCTACTTTTTTTTTTTAATTAAATATGCAGAACTGACAACCAGACGTTATTTTATATGTACATTTTTATAAAAAATGTATGACTATATCTGTTAATTGCGTTCCGTATACTATATATACTAGCGCCTTTAACGATCGACTTGTTTTAATTTAAAAATATTTATTTGGTGAAGTAAAAAAAACATATTTTCAGTATGAACCACAGGAGAAAAGGTACATAATTACGTAAATACATTAGAGTGCATCGAAAATTTAAAATTTATTATATTTTAAAACTTCCGCCAAAATAGTTTGGAAAAATTTTAAGATTTACGTGGGCTGGACCTATTTGAAAATACCTCCAAAAATAGAGTTTCTAACAAAAAAAAAATTAGTTAAAAAAAAATTTCTAAAAAACTACCTCGCACGATAGAAGAATTTAAGCTTAAAAGGTCTGCATAAAATTGTTTAAACATTTTATAAACGGAATCAAAATAATGTGATTTTTTGAAGTATCTTCAAATCGGTCTACTTAGCTCATGTAAATCTTAATATTTTTCCGAAACATTTTGGCGGAAGTCTTACAAGATAATATATTATCTAATACATTTTATAATTGCGGTGGAAAACCCGCGACTTTTTTTGGTTATGCACCCTAATGCATGTACATACATATGAATGTATGAATGTAACGTCAGTGTTCTTATTGGAAAATCCGCTCGATGACAAAATGGAACAACAATTTTTGTTTGCAAAAGTTAACTTTTGGAATAACCGCAGGATTACGTTTTTTTACGTTGAAAAATTTTAAGACTTTAAGAAACTACGACGTTTGACGCGTCCTATAAATTCCCTAAATATTGAATATTACTTTTCGAATTTTCACCGACCTGCGCCCCCAATATTTTATGTCAGTTACGGATCATTGAAAATAAATTAATAATAATTAACAGACTTGTAATTGACTTGCGGGTATTCGCTCTTTTCTGTATTCGCCGTATCTTGTGTAACTGGATAATCGTGTGATTGTTGTTGTAAGCGTACAACGAATACATCAAAGAGCAAATTACCCTACTATACATATTTTCACTATTACAAAATGATTTGAGGATACAAATTTTGGCCCACTCTAATGTAGTATGTACGTTAATATCTAACTTTCGTCTAAAATATTTTACAGAAAAACATCATTAAGTGAAATGATGACCGATGCACCAGAGGACGCTGTAAACATGGTAAAGTCCTTGCTGGTGCTTGATCCCTTGGCGCGTCTTACAGCGAAGCAAGCACTTGGCCACTCATATGTAGAAAAGTAAGATGGTCTTAAGGACCAAGTTATTCCTTAACTTGATTTGTTATAGTCTAGTTTTCCCCTTTTGAAAATCATCAAAGATTTCGCAACTCTATACCAGAGATTGAACTGAATGTCGACATATTGCCACCATTTCGCGATGATGTACGTCTCACGGTACCTGAATATCGATCAAAGCTCTATGAAATTGTTCAGCTCAACAGCGAGAAGGCAGATAAGCGACTAATATCTACGAATACAAAAAGTTCCAGCTTAAAGCAAAAGTAAAAATATTCCTCCTTCTTAACTCTCATTATGTAATCTATTAGAATTTAAAATACTCGTATTGTACATGAATAGGGATCATAAGCATATGACGTTTTACGATAAATCCGAAACAATAAAGAAAACCCATAAAACGAAGCAACAAAGCAACGGCACAGAGGATAAATATATATCAAAAGATAAATACTTGAGTCGCCCGGAGAAACACGAGAGCGAAACTCAACCATCGGTAAGTGTACCAAGCATAAATGGTAAGCCAACAAGGAAGACCGTGTCATTATCACCCAATGCCAAGCGTAGACTAGGCAAAGCCCAATCCAAATATTTTCCACAACAATGTACAGATATGGGTAGGAATAAATACCACTTAAAAACATACGAAGACTACGACGATCATGTACCGGCAAATGCTCTCGATAAGCGTCACTCCATTGACGGCGGTTATGCTAGCCTTCCCGACGGGAGTGCCGGCAATTTTGGTGGTTATGTAGAAGTGGTTGGAAAGCAAATATCTTCACCCAGCGGTGCTATGAAAAATAAAGATAGTACACGACGTCAATATCGCAGCTCTTCTTCCATATGCCGAGTGGAGCAAGTAAGCTTACAAGAAGAATCCAAGAACCCCGCAAATCTCCATCACAGCAAAGAACGCAATACCCACAACCCAACACATCAGCTGAAAAAAGGCCAACAGCACAATTTAATGGAAACGGAATTAAATCAATGCCATATTGGTGGACAAGATCGGCACAACCATAACAGCACCATATTTTCGAATAAGCCATCTTATTTGCGAAACACTAAGTCTGACGTAATTAACGGCGTTAGCGGTGGTAGCACGACGTTACAATCAGAAACTGCGGTCAGAGATAATGGAAGACTTTGCTATGAAAAGCGTTTGAAGAAACTGGAGGAGGAAATTGAAAAATACAAAAAGGAAGTAAAATCATTTTGTAAAGAAACTTTCAGTTATGCATATCCACAGTCGCCGCAAAAGCATAGCAAAAGTCACACAAGTCAAAGCCAGAGTCACAATTCAATTCAACACCTCAACCGCAACGCCAACTATCAGCAAATGCAACAAGCTCGCTTACAACCCCACCAACAACAAAACCATGGACGAACGAAATATGACATCGGTAACAATAGAAACCAGCACCTGCAAAATTACCAACACCAGCAACTACAGCCGAATCTACAGCCAGCTATGTCGGTTGCCCATCAAACCAGTACACCAAAACAGAATCCCTACTATGACCTTTTGGCCAAAATGACACGCGATTTTGGCGGTAAAAATATTATTCACAACGGTCTGTCTGGTGGTTTTGAGGAAGGTGTGCAGTACAATGCCGATAGGTCGGCGAATGTGGCGCACAAAGAGCTTCGGAGAGATCATAAGCATCATCAGCAGACGCATGGGCATGCCAATATGACGCAGCAACCACACCAGCAGCATTCTGTTCTTAATCATCAGCGCAACGCTAGGCCCATGTCGAAAATTATAGCGCGCCCACAACTGAGTGATCATTTTACAAAACAAACGATTACAAATTACCAATGATATTCATTTTAATATTATACATATGCTAGAAGAACTGCCATAATTTGCCTAATTTAGTTTAAATGCGCATTAGTATGTGTATGTAATTAATAATTATATGAATATATTTATGTATGTACTAGTTATGTAATATACACATGTGTATGTACACACACCTATGTATATAATGTATATGCAAGCAACGTGCTAGGAAAATATATTTTTATGTATACCTACACTTACAGAACTTTCCCTCTCGTTTTTGTTTTTTCATTCCCTCATAGTGTAGACGCTAAACGTGTGGAAACAACCGGATTTTTTTATGGAACAAACCGTTTTTTTTTTTAAGTTTTGAGTTTTTCGAAGTTTTCAAGGCTTTTTCCAATTTAAGGGCAATTCCTAAATAATTTTAAAATTATATGCTAGGTTATTTGGGGATTAACAGTACATCGTCGTTTAAAGTACAAAACCGCGTATCCACAAAATGCAAAACCGCGTATGTGGGGTTGTTATAAATTATTTTTTAGAGAGTAAAAACACTCATATTTCAAAATGGCTCTCTTTTTTTATAAAGCAATCGCATTTCTGGCTAGTAAATTTCAGAACGAATGGATAAGGATTGCGCCAACAGCTTGTGTGAGCAAATCCAATTTTTGGCAGCCAATGTCAGTTACGCGGTTTTGTACTTTAAACGATAAATTAATGTTTGACGTATATGTTGTAAAAACGGCGCCAAGCCCATTATCCAAAAATTTATAATAATTTGATTTTCTGCTAAGTTGTTATTGTAATAATCGATTTTGAGCGAATTAGCTGCAGTAGTTACTGATTTATCGCAGTTTTTGTGTTTCTGTAAATTACCGTCATCTGATAGATGGGCGTGGTTATTGCCCGATTTCAAACATTTTCAACAGATTTCTTAGCTAGACCCTAGAAAAAGCTCGTACCGAGTTTAGTAAGGATTGGTGAACAGGGCGGCCAACTATCTTTAGCTATGAGGTGCCATATTGAGGATAAAAAATCATCATAAGTGGGCGATAATAATATTATTTTTTTACCGAAATTCTACGTCACATACTAATATTCAACAATTTTGATCCAATATTTACTGAAATATCGGCCCAATTCATTTTCAATACCAACCCTGGATAAAGAGCAACCTACATACCAAATTTCGTAGTATTTATGTATACATTTGTATATATTTACATATCTCGATTCGTTTTGGCTGTTACAAACAATCGTTATGTGAACAAAATTATAATACCCTGTTGAGATAACGTGAAAAGAGACATGCTTAAATTTGCCATAAAACTACACATTACCCGCTCGCGTATATGTATGTACTACGTTGATTGTTGGCAGTACGGATTTTCTTCCATAGAAAGTTGGTATGTTAGTCAATTATTTTGTATGAAGAAAATGGGCAACACCTTCCAGAAAAAGAAATGCCAAAAAACAACTATGTATTCTAAACTTGCACTTTATTATACCACAATTGAATGGGCTAAAAAACTGGATACTCAGAATGTTTCTAAGGAATCGAATTAAAAAGCTCATAATTTTGATGTAACTTTGTCGAATTTCCCAAAGTTTAAAATTTTAATTTACCAGACAACGAGCTTTACTAAAAATAATAATAAACTTTAAATAAACGAAAGGGAAATAGCCAAAGAATGCTAAAATATCTCTTCCGTATTTATATTTTCGTCACTGTATGTATCCGCATTTGGTTCTGCTAGTTTTTATTTTTATCCAGTGTGAAGCCATGAGAATATTTCTTCTGTCATTCTAGTGTGAAACTGCCCAATTGGACTAAGCTTTACAACTTATTGCACTAAAATCTTTAATGCCGGTTACACCAGCAATTTAAATGAAAAATTATTTTATCCCTTCTGTCAGCATAAAAGAATAGGAAAGTAAATGTGGAGAATAAAGTTTGGGATTTATCTTAATGGTAAACATTTTTTAAATAAATTTTTTTTTTCCAAATTAATCTAACGTGTTTTTTTTTAATTAACAAAGTGGCTTTCAAACGAATAAAACAAAGGTTCATGTGATGCTGCATGCTGGTTAATAATTTTTAAAAGAGTTTAATATGTATGCTTTTACTACTTTATTTAAAAATATTTTTCGCTTAAACTTATTTAATAATACTTAAACGATCTTTGGTTCTTTTAAAACGATTAAACAGACATTAAATCACTTGACTATTTTAAAGAAAACGTATACAAACTGTACCAATTTTACTAGGTCAATGCAGGGTTTTTTTCAATTTATTTATACTAAAGATGACAAATGGCCCTACCAGAACAGACTGGTATCAGTATTTTATAGGTATGTATTGGGTTTCTCCAACTCAACTTAACTTAGTTTAGCCACTTTTTGAACTTAAGTAAAAAGTTAGCCTACGTTTTACACAGCTTATTCTTGACTTAGTCAAGAAAATTGGTATAACTAAGTTAAGTTGAGTTGGAGAAACCAGCCCAATGATTTGATTTATAGTTCATACATTGCGTATGAGTAACCTTATTTCATAGTCATCTATCCTTTACATAGGGCCAATTGCACAATGCGTAGTTAACTCAGAATCGGGAGTTAACTACAGATTTTTGTACTGAAAATCTCTAGTTAACCGTCGATTCTGAGTTAACTACGCACTGTGAAATTGGCCCATAGTATAAAGCAGGCATGCCCAACGCCGGCAGAACTCCATAAGCAAGTGCCCTGCGCCGGGCACGGCTGGTATAAAGAAAAGGCGAGATTCTATGTACGCGGTAATCTCGAAAACTACTGAACGGATTTTGACGAGATTTTCTCTTTTTTCTCTGTATCGATAGGAGAGTGACTTTTTTTATTTAGAATTTTAATAGGGGCGCCACCTGTCTAAAAAACTATAAGATCCGCACCGTCCGTTGGATTGATTACAAAAGATGAGGAGCTAAATGAAAGGGATTGGCCCCTAGAAAATCACTAATGTTTTACTTTTTTGAATAGGGTTGCTACCTGTTAATAAAATTACTATATTCAATCATAATAAGCGAAGGCATCTGTACTGCACCGCCACTTAATATTTATGTATTGATTTATTAACAAAAAAAAAAAAATATTTGTATAATTAGAAGTTTTGCGGAATGATTTTTGAGAAAAAATTATACGTATATGGGACCAATAGTATCCATACATGAGCCTAAAAAAAGGAATCCGATTTTTTTAAGTTTGATTAATTTAAGACAAAATGTAATTGGATTGGCGAATGGGGTAGACTTTTCTGGCGGTGTTATAAAGTTATCAAGATATGTTGATATAATTTTTTTTCTGGACAGTGTTGCGCATTTTCTTCCATATAACCAAAAATCCGCAACACCCTCCACAGAAAAATTCTAAAAAATCAACGGTCATTTTTAGCAACTTGATACCTGCACTTTATTAGACCAAAATTTAATGGGCTACAAAACTGCATGCCCGAAAATTTTCTAAATCTTCTGATTAAAAATTTGAAAATTTTGATGACAATTTTTTTAAGTTAATTTATGTGGTTTCTGTTATAGATTGAATTTTTAATAGAAGTTTTATCTTTAGGCCTGATATATAAGATCCGCACCGTTCGTTGGATTACAGAAAACGAGGGGTCAAATGAAGGTGATTGGCCTCTAAATGACGAATAATATATTCTCTTTTTAAGCTATTTTTGAGGTGTTTGAAGGAGATTGGTATCAATCGAAATACGTTTGAAAGGCTTTATTCAGAACTATATTTAGTAGGGTTGCCACATGTTTTAACAAGCAAATTCAAATTGAATTGTGGTGATTAGGTAATTGGTATATGTATCACAATATGGGTGCCACACTAAATTGGTTCAGCAAGTTTTAAAAAAGTTTTGAAAAAGGTTGTTCAAATGCAACGTTATATATGGGGGAAGGGGAAGAAGGGGCGTACGGGCTATCTGATCGGCCCAAAAGTTTTACCATAACTTGCTAATAGGATGATGAACATACGTACCAAGTTTGAAAATGATAACTTTCTTTTTAGAGTTTATGCCAAAAATTTTAAGTTTCGGCCAGTGTGCTTTGTGCGAAAGAAAATGTGTGATAATAATAATAAAAATAATATAATGGTGCTTGGTGTTTGACCGAGCAAAAAACATTCAAAAATCAAGGGTGTTTTGTAGTCCCTTCAAACTAGAAAATTGTCGTTGTGCAACTTTTTTGAATTTTTCTAATTTTTGTACGAATTTGAATTTATATGGCTTTGTTGAAACGTATACAACATGTACACATAGCACTAGGGGTCCCTTTATTTTATCGAAAAATTTTTTCAATAAGGAACTAATACTCAAAGTGTAAAAAATGATTTTTTTTTTATGGAGGTACTGCAAAACGGAATTTTTTCGCAGCAATATACAGTTTTGTGTTCGAAAAAGATTCGAGCATTAAGTGTAGGATAAACTGTTCTGGAAGGGGCACCATATATGTATGTACGTACGTTGATGAAACTGTCATAGTATAATTTTAATGTTTGGATCTTAAAAATATAAGAGGCTCACATAAAAACTATATCAATTATAGTAGTTACTGTACCATAAAACTTGTCAAGCAGTGCTTTACGTTTTTCGTTTTTGATCAGTTTGCTGTTGAGGTAACTCTTCTTGCAATTGCAAAATATGATCTACGGGTTGCGGTTTTCCATCCTCACCAATGCGGCATGGCTGTACCACTCCACCTTTATGTAACTTATCCATCAAATTAACAAGTTGCATGGCCTCATGTTCTTTTTGTTCTTCTGACATTCCTTCAAAAGGACTTGGCTTGGGTGATTCATAGCAACCAATAACGGGATTAATGTTTTGCTGTACTTTTTTATACTCCTCCGTATCGCTATCTTCACTATCTGAAGAATAATCGGTGTTTTCGATTTGACGACCACCTAAAAGACCGCGTTTTGCAAACAAGCCAGCTGCATTGCCATAACCTGTATGTTTTATCATGCGAGCAACATTTTCTTTACAACATACGAACAGCAATTCCGTAGCTAAGTCGCGCAATACCATTTCGGGTAGAGTTAAAAAGCGACAAAGATGATTCCGTAATTCATTTCCTACTTCAGGACGATTAAAAACATTCCGTAATGGAGGTAAAATCACACTTCTAATATAGTGGCGCATAACTCTATCACTTCGTGCGCATTTAACCAACAATGTTAAAACTGGGGAAACAAGTTCATTAGATGAGGCAGCTTTATCTTGCTCTTCTAATACATTTTTTAAATAACGCACAATTATTTCCAATGCACGCACGTTGTATCCTTCATATAATATTACCGGGCAAGTAGTTGGCGCATTTGATTCACTCTTAATCAACAACTCGGTTAAACAACTACCAGAGATGTTTGTCAAAAGATTGATGGCATGCATAATAACATTGCGTTCTCGATCATTTTCCAATTGTCCAAAATTAAGAAGTAAGTTTCTGATTACACCAGTCAAATGTCGGCTTTGAATTTCATTCTCATTGGGACTTTTATCTGCATTGGTGGTAATATTAAACATTACTTTTAACATTTCACATAATAAATCCAAATGCTGATCAGTAATCTCTTTTTCTGCCAACTTTTCATCGAGCCATTCAGTCATATAAGCAACTCCATTTAAATCAAGTTGCACCCGTGTACGGGTAGCTGGTTCCATTGCCGTTATTAAAAACAATAATTTCATATCAAAAAACTCTACAGAAGACGGATGTTGTACGGATGAAGCGACACGTTTAAGAATAGCGTCTGTGATATTTGATTTAACACACTGACGACGGCGATCTGCACATTGGAATACTAAATTGCACAAACATTTAAGGGACTCAACGACGATTTGCGTTGTGTTATCACTCCAATGCAAAGTAACATCTTGAACTACTGCTCCATCAACATCTAAATCACCTTCTTTGCGAGCAACTGAATCTGATTCTTCAACGGCTTCAGGATGTTCCAGATGAGCCAATTTAAGGAGGCACAACACATCTTCCTCTAAATCTTCTGCCTGCAGGCTACACTTGTCACGCGTTAAGATACGAACGCTATTTAGAGTTAGAGAGTGTAGACCTACTAAATTATCATCTTTAAGAATATTAAACAGTGTGCGCCACATAGCGTGCCAGCACCCATCTACATGGAACATTGAAAAATCAAAAAGGTCGTCATTCTGAAAAGTACGAATGGTTTAAATTGTTTGTTGATACATACGTACACATGTACATATGCATGTACACAATTTTCTTACGTACTTTCGAGTTAAATTCAGTTAAGACAGATTTGATTTCATCTGGATTTTTGCCACGCAATTGCTCTAATTTCTGCTCCTCCATTTTTTAGTTATAATCGCCGATATCCTTACCAAATTGGATTAGAATTTTCACGAATATATTCACATCGACTGACGTTTTACATGGTGGAATAATAACAAGGTATTGTCAGTAGCGACATGTTTGTTGTAATTTTGACTTCTTCTTCTGGCTGCTTCTTTCAGTGCTGCCAATCATAATTTTTATCTACAATTTTTTGGGAAATAGTATCCACTTTAGTAACTTGTTTTATCGCGTTATTTTAATAACTTGGTGTTTTTAGAACGAAATTAACACTGAAAATTTCTGGATTTGTATAAATTTTTTACTACAAATGTAAAAAAAATAAAATATATCGTGGTTATCAATGGAAAATCGTACACAAAAATCGTATGGAAAGTCGATTACGTTTATTTGAATTAAATTTTGCTGCATTGTCGATTGTTTTCGATTATTTATCGAAGTGGAAGTCATATTTTATCATCTTTAATACGCCATTTCGGATTTATTGTTAATTGGCTGACCAAAATAGAATAAGCATGGAACTAATAGGCTGTTAATGAAAAGAAATTGAAGGAAAAGTATTTTGGTTTTGTATTTGTGCAGCAAAACTGTAAACAAAGGATGTAAGAAATGTCAACGAAAACACCAACAGTCGGTGTGAACAGCCTTCAGCCCACAATCCCAAAACTGGTTTTCAAGGTGTTTTCGTTGTCGGTCCGAACATGGTATTATGTAAAAAAACAAAAACTATCGATAGTATTGGAAACTATCGACTGTAGTACGATAGTAAAAAAATATCGATAAAATCGATAGTGCCATCGATATTTTCAGACCACTAGTTGAAACACATGTGTTTATTTTTGATAGCATTTTTATTCAACAATCTCAGGAAACTTAAAAATTTATACTTTGAAAGTTCCATTTAGCTGAGGAACATACAATGGAAGTTGAAAATATAAAAAACGACGATTTTTTGCCGCCATCAGGGTTGAAAAAGGCAACTAAACGATCTGCAGATTATAATGAAACAATGCAGGTTGATGAAGAGTCCCCGCTGCAGGAGACAAAACAAAGGATTCAAACCCCGCGCGCAAAACGCCAAAAAAGCGACGTTAGAAAAATCTCTGTTCCTCCACACAGGTAATTTTTATTTTCGTGGCATTTGACTTTAACCATACAATTACATTCTCGTCAGATATTCATCATTAAAGGAGCATTGGATGAAGATTTTTAGTCCTGTTGTAGAACATATGAAACTTCAAATACGTTTTAATATGAAGGCGAAACAAGTAAGTCCATACAAAAATTTCAATCCAAACTGGACAAGGCTTTGTCTTCCTTTAAAGCACTTCAGAATCGTATAAAACTAAAAGCTTTTCGAAAAATTAAAAAGGAAACGCCGTTTGTTAAGAGCACTTTTGCACTTATTTAAAATTTCTTAAATTAAAAAACACCAAAAAAAATTTCAGACCAATCATGTGAATATGGGCACGTTAACTAACTAATATACAAGACTGCTCACTTAAATTAACTTATCGTAATTAGTTCCTCAAAGTACTTTAAATTTATTTACGTTATTCTTTTACACGATTATTAAAATTTTGAGTATATCGATTAATATAACAACTTTTTCTAGCGAACTCTGAAACTATAAATATTCTATGTCTTTTGTTTATATATCTAGGTTGAACTTCGAATTAGCCCTGAAACTCCAGATATATCAAACCTACAAAAAGGTGCCGACTTTGTCAAAGCATTTCTCTGTGGATTCGAAGTGGATGACGCTTTGGCACTGCTGCGTTTAGAAGATTTATTCGTAGAAACATTTGAAGTGAAAGATGTGAAGACCCTACGTGGTNTAGGTTGAACTTCGAATTAGCCCTGAAACTCCAGATATATCAAACCTACAAAAAGGTGCCGACTTTGTCAAAGCATTTCTCTGTGGATTCGAAGTGGATGACGCTTTGGCACTGCTGCGTTTAGAAGATTTATTCGTGGAAACATTTGAAGTGAAAGATGTGAAGACCCTACGTGGCGACCACCTAAGTCGGGCTATAGGTCGATTGGCTGGTAAAGGAGGACGAACAAAGTTCACTATAGAAAACGTTACAAAAACCCGCATTGTTCTGGCAGATAGTAAAATTCATATTTTGGGTAGCTATCAAAATATACAATTGGCGCGAAGGGCAATATGTAATCTTATCCTTGGATCACCTCCCAGTAAAGTGTATGGCAATCTTCGTTCCGTGGCCAGTAGATTGTCCGAGCGTATGTAAGATATTTGCTAATTTACAATCCTTGATGAAAACACTAAAATTTATTTACTCATTTATAACTTTGTGAAAATAAGGAGAATAAGCATAAATAAAGTTACAGCTGCCAACACCATAATAATACACATTTTTCGGTTCTTTCGCTGGTAAGCTTCTGCACGCTGCAACTGTCTGAGACCTTCAGAAACTCTCGTCTGTGTTTGTTCCACATTGTAATCGATACGATCTAGCACAGTGCCTTGCTCTTGCACCATCTGGCTAAGATCTTTAAATATGTCATTAAGATCATAAATTGATCGTACTACTTTGGCAACCTCTTCATCTCGATTCATTGCTAAACGTGTATTTTCTTCTTCGAACAATAAAAGCTGTTGCTGTGTCATACGATTCGAAACAGGGCGCTGAAAATCTTCATCTATCTGCTGAGTAGATGCTTCGTCATATAAATAGCTGTGGTTCATTTTGGAAGTAGTTTTATTTAATACTGGAGCCATTGGTTGTAAGAAATTGTCAAAAGTTTCCACATAGTTGCCACGATCATCCGTAGATCCAGAAACTAAATCAATATTTGTGAAGTCTTTATTTTCAAAATATTTTTGGGAACGCTCTTCACGGGAATTTAGCTGACGTATATAAGCACTTTGACTATTTCGAAATTTAAAAGTTAATTCCTGCAATTGGAGCAGCAGGCAAGTCACTACGTTTTCTGTTAACCGCTGCTCCATCTTGGTTCCTATACCAAGGCTTGAACGAATGCATTGTATATGTCGATGAGCAGATGTTATTAGTTTTGATATCTCCTGGCTAAGATTTTGAATTTCAGTTTCTTCTTCGTAGTTTTCATCGAATGTTGGCTGCAAAAGATGTCTTGCGTGCAAGGACCCAAGTTCATCAAGTTTTGGCTTTATTCTAAAATGTACTAGAGTATAAGGGGTCTGTTTTTATATTTAGTGGTAATATAAAATACTTTGACAAAGTGTATTGCGCCTCCTCTAGTTTATCGATCCATACTGGTGGTGTCCCATAGTCATCTCGCATTTCCAAACCTTCCTCTGTATCTCGAAGAGAATGTGCAAGTAATCGTTCGGCGGCATCACTTTGCTTTTCCAATGTAAGCCGAAACTAAATTAAATATAAATTCTTAATTAAAACACTACTTACTATATTATCAGAATACAAGTTTCGATTTTTCGACGCATTATTGCGCATTATTATGAAAACTTCGGTTAGATTTCGGGATGTCATTTCACTTATGTTTGTATAAATAACAATCTCCAAACACGAAATATTATACTATCCCATCCAATTTTGGTAAAATATCTAAATGTATTATTTTTCTCGTTAGTATGTTTTTAACCATATGTTTGCCGATGAAATTGGTACATGGTTGCATCAAAGGGTTAATCACTGTGACATATGCTTTCGAGACAGTAGTAGTTTACGTTGCGTTTACATTAGACGAGACCAAGTTAAAATTTTTGTTCGTCGAAAATCCAGCAGAATTATCCAACACTCAAAATATCAGAGAGTAAGAAAAATTATCTCGAATTCTCTCTCATGTTGAGAAACTTGCAGGAATTTGCAAGTTTCCCCGCCATCTGGTGTCCACGGTTGCATTTCAAACATAATAAATTTTTTTAGACTTTTGAAAAGGACTTGCACTTGCCACGTCTAAAGAACCTGTCAGGCGTGGCAATATTTCCGTCTTTCGCACGCAATCCGCTGTCAAATTGAGATAGAGTAATTGGCCCGTAGTCATAGTCAAAATAAAGTCGACTTTAAAGTTAGTTGCAGCTTTTTTGACAGATATCCCATTGAAAATTATGTCAAAAAGCTGCAACTAACTTTAAAGTCGACTTTATTTTGACTATGACTACGGGCCAATATATTTCGATGTGTGAACAGCCAGAAAGATCTTTCTGTCACTTTTCGGAAATCGGTTTCAGAAATAAAAGTTGCAAGGTGTGACTGCAACTGCAAGAACGAAAATCGATTTCGGAAATATATATCAACTTCCTCGTTCTGCGCTAGTAATTTTTATTTCTACTGCAAGTGCTGTCAAACTAATCAAGTGTTGCCGTGTGTCAAAATTGTCTTACCTAAACAGACCGGCGTGTACGCGAATCATCCACTTCTATTTTTTTAATAATAATAATTTTTAATAAAATTGCTTTCTTTTTCAACACCAGCTTACGTCGAGTATTCAATTTTTGCGGTTTCGTTCTCGTTTTTACAAGAGAAATAGCAAAAAACGACAGCCTCACCGCCCATGGTTGCATTTTAGTATCGAGAAAGATTGTCAGAAACTCATTCGCTGTGTGAAGAGCCAAAAAGCGATTTCAGAAATTTTTCCTACAATTCGCCTTTCGGAAATAAAAACCTCTTTCGAAAGACACTTTCCGTGCAAGGTGTGACTGCTCATGCAACTGATTTCTCAATTTGACAGCATTTCCGAAATTGATTGCATCGAAATATATTGCCACGTCTGACACGCTCTTAACAGCCACTTAACAATGTATAAAAATCGATATTGAAAACAAAAACATCGAAGTTTTTTCCATATCTAGGTGTTAATTTGTACTGTGATTTTGAGTGCTTGGCCTGAAGTTTAGAAAGTTCGGAGGATTGCTTTGTAGTGTTTATCATAAATCGCCATTTCTTAAATCCATAAAAAAAATCGTCACTTAATTTTGTTTTTACATCGTGAACTATAATGAAAGTATTTTTTTGGGCTTTCATATTTGCGACTATTCTGGTCGCTGTATCTGCCGAAGAGGGCTTATCAGAGCCACATTTCCTTTCAGATGAATTTATTGAACTAGTGCGCAATAAAGCCAAAACTTGGACGGTAAGAGTTTATGATTACATTCATGCCTATTTTATGTTGTTGTAAATTCGATTCTAGCCCGGACGAAATTTTCATGAATCCGTTGGCGAAAAATACGTACGCCGTTTAATGGGTGTGCACCCAGATTCACACAAATTTGCTCTTCCTCATCTATTGAAAGACACAGCCGGAGATGAGATAGAGTTGCCGGAAGAATTTGATTCACGGGAGCATTGGCCTCACTGCCCGACCATTTCGGAAATTCGAGACCAAGGATCTTGCGGATCTTGTTGGGCATTTGGCGCAGTGGAAGCGATGTCCGATAGGGTAAGATGTTGGAAATATGTAAAAAGTTTGCAATTATAACGTTAAGTACAGTTGAACAAAAACGCATATTTCTTTGTTTGTTATATTTGTACTTATCTGTCGTTCACCATCTGCCATTAGTGTATATTTGTAAATACTTATAAGTGATCATATGTGCATTTACTACATACATATGTATACTACATATATACGTATGTATATGTTTATTTTGCAATGTTATTAAGCCTTATCTTATTAGTCATTTTAGTATTTGAAAAGCAAAAGCGACAGCTTGAACATGCAGTATATATAAATGCAGGTGTATGTAGATGTCTGTTGAGGGAAAATGAGATTCTCTAAACACGTACAAAAGATTTTCTACATACATATGTATAGATTTTTTTCTTTATATGCAGGTTTGCATCCACTCCGAAGGAAAACAGAATTTTCATTTCTCCGCTGACGATTTAGTATCTTGTTGTCATACTTGTGGTTTCGGTTGTAATGGTGGATTTCCTGGAGCTGCCTGGAGTTACTGGACTCGTAAAGGTATAGTTAGTGGCGGACCTTTTAGCTCCAAACAGGTAAAGCAAAATATTGTTTTGTGTAAATGATGAATGTTAACGTTTCGTTTCATTAGGGTTGTCGCCCTTACGAGATTGCACCTTGTGAACACCATGTAAATGGAAGTCGCCCTGCTTGCGATGGCGAACATGGAAAGACACCCCGTTGTCAGCATCAATGCGAATCTAGTTACAAGGTAGATTACGCAAAGGATAAGCATTACGGTGCTAAAGCATACTCTATCGGTCGAAATCAGCGAGATATTCAGGAAGAGATTTATAAGAATGGACCAGTAGAGGGTGCTTTCACGGTTTACGAAGATTTAATACTGTACAAAGAAGGCGTTTACCAACATGTGGTAGGGAAAGAACTAGGCGGGCACGCTATCCGCATCTTAGGCTGGGGAGAAGAAAAAGGAACACCCTATTGGTTAATTGCAAACTCATGGAACACCGACTGGGGTAATAATGGATATTTTAAAATTTTGCGTGGAGAGGATCATTGTGGCATTGAAAGCTCCATATCTTCTGGTCTTCCGAAGCTTGATTAATTACAAAATTACTTTGACGATAATCGATGTCAAACATTTATGAATTATACATGTATACAACATTTAAACTACATAAAGTCCTTTTTATTCATCAAAAATATAGTTTTTCCTTGTATATCTTTATTTAATTCAAGCTTATCTTAGTACTAATATCACATTTAATTTTTAAAATACTATACTGTTATACATAAGGGTTCCAATTACTTCCATCCTCTGGAAGTAAGTTATTTGTGATGAGTAGTATTATGTCTATAACCCACCAAACGCCTACACCACCGATCGTTAATAGCTTTCCAACAGCGGTGCCTGTTTGGCCCAAACAAAACCTATCCATGCCTAAAAATCCTAATAGAATACTATAGATAAGTGTTGTCACGAAGTAATGGTCGGTATAGCGTACACATGGTACGCCATCACGCAAGAATGTGCGCGGACCGTAGCAATCGATATCAGGAAATACCGTACATTGTACTTCCGTGTGCTCCACTTCGTCATAGGTAGATCCTCCAAAGTGCAAGCAGCCATATCCTTTCACTGCCTTAGCGGTATGGTTATTGTCATGGTCAATTGGATCTTTGCATTCCAAAAAATCACGGGGCAAAAAGGAACACATCACCATTGGTCCAAGCGGATTGAAGTCTGAAGCAGCAGGAGTAACCGAACCAGGTAAGGACGAGGAAGGTGTAATGGGTACCACCGATTGAACAGCTGTCGGTTGCATTTCTTTTTCGCTGCGTGCTTGAATACCACTGACTACATTCAAATGAGAAATCAAGTTCAATATAATTGAAACAGCTAATGCATTAAGAATAATGCAAAAATTATGCATTTTTTACTGCACTTTTATAATTTTTACATAAAAACCAAATACATATAGTATTTATAGATGGAAAAGTCGACTCTGCTTTAGTCAGAAATCGACTTTTTGTTGAAAAAAACTCCACTTTTTGTAATCGAGTTCTGCCGCTGAAATCGAATCGAACCGATTCTCACTCGATGGCTTTTCGACTTTTGTCTACTAAAGAGCGAAACACACCACACAAGTGGCTTGACAAACCAAGCAAAATAAATGCTTCAAGTGTTTGTGTCGTGTATGGGGTATTTGAAGGTTTGACAAGCTATATGAGCGAAGTTTGAACAAAAATCAAAATTTTTTGGTTTTCTGGCTGCCATTTTCAGGGCCCTTACTCTGTAGTTCGAATCAAAAAGAAGTTCTATTCGATCGCTTTACTCTTGTATAGTACCAATCGTTCGAATTCGAACAAATTTACTATCGATTCGAACTACAGAGTAAGGGCCCAGGTTTGAGCAAACCGCTTGCGTTTTGTAAAATAAATTCGCCTCATTTGCAAAGGAATTTTTGCCGAGCGGCGACATAAGGGCGAAAAATGGAAGAAAACCATAATTTTTAGCATTGTGAATCGGAAAAGCTAAAAATTCTTTGTTTCAACGAGTCATGTGTGGTTGGTGTATGGCGAAATGGGAAAAATTGGGTTGAAGTATATTTTACAAGCCGCTTGAGTGGTGTATTTCGCTCTTAAGTAATACGACGTTTCCACGCTTATTTTTTTATTTTTCGCAACGTTCGGATTCTTTACTTATACCAGAAAGTGAATATATTTTTTTGTTTTATGATTGCCAACAAAAGAAAATATTCGTAATTGTCATGACGTATTTGTAAATATACATACATATCGCACACCGTATTCAAAAGTGTCACAATTCAAAATTTGGCATTTTTGAGATTATGCGCTAAAATTGTAGACAGAGATTTTATTTACCTTTCAGCAATAGCTGGAGCAAATTTATATTATAATTTGTTAAAAAAACCCCATGGTAAAGTCGCCCTTGCTTATATGATTATCATGTTCTAAGAAATAGTTTTTCGCATTTTCTGACAAACGTAGGTATTATTTTGAGTTGTGACTCTTTTGAAGACGGTGGCGATATATGTATGTGATGTATCTTAATAAAATTCGCTATTTGGATATACATATAAAAATATAAACTTTATTACACACCTTTAAATACTTAATATCCTTACAAAATACATAATTTCAAATTAGTATAGTTAATTTAAAAACAAATTCTAAAACGGAAAAAAATATCGTCTTCAACATATACATACAACCCATAAGGATTATTTCTGGTAAAACAGCTTTTCCTGTAAATCCCGCAATTGTGAAGCACATGGAACAAGGCGTATATTATAAAAAACATTTTATATTATATTTTATATTTTAATACAAATTTCCGTCTTAAATACTTATGTTGCTCCTAATTGTATACAAATTTTAATAATACCATGCATTGTCTTATTATATAGCTAAAAAAAGCACGTATGTGAATAGTGCAATCCAATGGTTCGAATAACTAACTATTGACCATGCTTTAAGGTAATCATAATAACCTGTTATTTCTGGTGCATCTTCATCCTCTGTAGGATCACTCATCATCGCGCCTAAGTATGCCAGGTGAAAAATGGTAAGTATTGAAAATGAAATGTTTACCAGTTGGACTATAACTGCGCCATCGCTTGTCCAACCATGACTAGGACAATATTTATAATGACAGGGATTACGACAAATATTGGCGGCAACGCACGCATTAAACGCACTTGCTATTTTCAATCGAATTTTGTATTCTATGTAACCAAAAGATGCTAGTGAAAGTAATACTAGATATATCTTTAAATATTCGCCATGCAAAAGTGACGAGACGAAATAGGTTATAAAAATCGCAAGCAGTTGGCTATGAAATCTTTTATATACTCCGCGAAATATGTACTCCTTAAGAAAGATATGCATAGGTATATTCCAGCTACGTACCACTGTATTTAGTGATCGTGGAAATTCGACATTTAGTGGCTTTGTGATCATATGACCTAACCACGCATTAGCCTTCGATTCCTTGTCTACTGAAATGCCACTTGCAGCAATTGAAGCTTGCGATAGGAAGCTGACAAAATAATGACTGCAGCGCACTGCTAACGCATCTCGAAAAATACGCATCCATACAGGAGATTGACTTGAAAATATTAATGGTACAACACAATTGGACAAATTAATAAAGCTTAAAGAAAGGACACTGCATAGTAAGCACCATACTACCCACCGATAATGTGATATTGAGGGACTTTGGTGTATACTATGCAGATAAGCGCTAAAGGGAACCCAGGGGCCAATAATTAAAGTTGAGGGCATAAAAATGTAACCAAGAAAGGAAAATACGTTTGGAACGGTGATATTTTGTTGGCTTTTCAGTGCAGTTTCTGCTATTTCGAAGGCAACTGATATAATTTTCATGTTTGCAACCATGATAGACCCCTTAATGACTTGCCAAGCTAGTTGCCGTTTCCATATTACTTCCGAGCCAAGGTGTACCGAAATAGTAAATGCCAACATAATAATACCCATGTTTTTTCTGCAAAATGCGAATCGATTTAGCAAAAGAAACATCACGTATGATAAGCCAGCAAAAAATGCAATAATTAGCGAATTTAGTCCCACAGTTATGTAGAGTATACAGGATCCCGGTAAGATAGAAACTGTGTGTAGTATCCATTCGTGCCTGATTTGTAGTCGAACAAATACTGCTAATCCAACACGGTTAATAAAACTCCAACCAATTAAAATGCTCATATACCACAAAATTTGTAAAGTTGACGGTATAATGCAGGTTTCATATGTGTTTCTCCATTCATATATTGGCTGATTCTCTTCAAAAATAGAGTCATAGTCAACTTCGGCAGCATCCACTTGTCCATCATAGTAATAATAGTTGTAAGGCATGATCACTTTGCTATTCCACCTCCTTTCAGCTTTTCTAATATATCCACGCGTACCATGAAGAAACTTTTTGGAACCGGAATCTGCGAACAAAATATGTAAATAAAGCCGGCTCCACGAGCTAAAAAGATTTCATCTTGTGCGGAATACAATGATTTGTATGTATGTATGTATTTGTTTTTATTTTTGTTTTTAGTGTTTTCATTGGTGATGCCAGTTCGAATAAAAATATCAGCTAGACATGGGTCAGCTCATTTAAGTCTAGGTTCAGACAGGGAAACTTTTGTCGTGGTAACTCGTTACTTGTGGGAGAGGGACTGACGATGAAAGGGGAAGGGCAACGAGTTGCTCGTGCTCGGGTACCACGCTTTTTGTTCTCGTTCGTCTGAGTAATTCTAGCTGACCGTTCACAGCTGACAACAACAAGACTGGGTTCACACAGAGAAACTTGTGTTGCTCTTTTTCGGCAATTTTTCTTTTGGTGTTGCCCTTCGCATTTAAACTGAGCAATTCTTTTGTACACAATTGTTGTTGTCAGCTGTGAATTACTCAGACGAACGAGAGCACAAAGCGTGTTGCCACAAGCTAAGAGTTGCCGCGGCAAAAGTTTCTCTGTCTGAACCTAGAGCAATTGTGTACAACAGAATGGCTGTGAGTGAACGCGAAGGGCAACACCAAGAGAAAAATTGCCGAAAATTAGCAACAAAAGTTTCTCTGTGTGAGCCCAGTCTAATGCCTTTTTCTCCTTTTTATTTCAATTTTTTTACGATTCTTCCTTATAACTCCCTCTTTTGAATAAAACTTGAATATATTGCGAAAACTACACTATGTGCTTATGTTAAGCGAATAAAAAATAAATCTGTAATCTTCTTAAAATTTTAGACTGCGTTTAGTACAAGTACTTGGTTTTTATTTTAGTACAAAAGCTACCGTTTCAACTTTAGTGGCAGCCTCTTTCAAACTGTCAATGGCCGCTGTTGAAAAACAAGAAATATACAGAGAAACATAAAATTGTGAATTCGCAATGACAATTTGTTAAAAATCACACAAATTCAGAAATTTCAGAACAAACAATCGGGTATTGGACTGCTATTGCAATTTATTAATTAAAATAGTGTGGTTTCAAAGGATTCGAAATCGCAAAGAGTAAAGTGAAGCTTTGCTGTGGTACAGAGGCGATCCGTAGGCCTTATTTAAACGTTGGAAACAAATTTGGATCACCTATTAGAGAAATAATACATAGAATCTGTTTTTTACATTTCTGGGCAAGTTTCGGGCAGTATTGTTGATTCATAAATATTTTAAATCGTTGGAAATAATGGTAAGTCCATTGATCAAAGAATTTTTATAAAATATAATTAGTCCTTACCTTAAGGTTATGTTCATGGTTTGTATATTATTTTTTCTACAGGAAATACAACAATTAGAAATACTTTGTAAGCAGCTCTATGAGGCAACCGATTCAGTAATACGTTCTGATGCTGAAAAAGCACTGGTGGCTTTCGTAAGCAGCCAGGATGCTCTACCTAAATGTCAAATGCTTTTAGAGCGTGCAGATTCAAGCTATGCGCAGTTGCTGGCAGCCACAACACTTACAAAATTAATACAAGGACTTAATTTGGAACAGCGAATTGATATAAGGTTAAGCAATGCATACTAAAATTTTAATGCTAGTAATTAACAATGTGTTCTTACCCCGTAGAAGTTACGTGTTGAACTATTTGGCTAATCGACCAAATTTACAACATTTCGTTGTTCAAGCACTTGTTACACTTCTGGCTAAGATTACAAAATATGGATGGTTCGATATGTATAAGAGTGATTTGATATTTCAAAATCTTTTTGAAGATGTAAAGAAGTTCCTACAGGTACCTATTCTCATTATTGACATTCATTTTCCCTTCATAAATTATTATTATTTTTTAAATACAAATTTATCTTTGTAGGGCTCGGTAGAACATTGTACTATTGGCGTTCAGATTTTATCGCAACTCGTTCTGGAAATGAATTCTATTATAGAAGTCGATGTGAATTTATCATTTTCAAAAAATCGAAAGATTGCCACTTCATTCCGTGACCAACAACTTTATGATATTTTTTTATTGTCCTGTTCATTATTAATTACTGCTCGTGACAACAGCAAAAACCTAAATTTCATGGATGAATCCCAGCAGGCGTTCGTATTGAAATTATCATCAATATTTTTAAACACTATAATTATTAAAAACGTCTCTTTTCTAAACAGATTAATATCACACGTACTGCGGCTAACGAAGAATTGCTTAAGTTTCGATTTTATCGGCAGTTCAACAGATGAGTCGTCCGACGACATGAATAGTGTGCAAATACCCACATCCTGGCGACCGGCCTTTTTGGATTCAAACACTTTAAAATTATTTTTTGATCTTTACCAGATTCTCCCAAATGGGTTGGCCAGTTATTCGCTTTCTTGTCTTGTGCAAGTAAGTTTATAAATATAGTTCAAATGTAAAAATTCGTTGGATATTTATGATTACAATTGACACAATATTCTCTAGATGACTTCCGTGCGCCGTTCTCTCTTTAATAATTCAGAGCGAACTAAGTTTCTTACTCATTTGGTGGAAGGTGTAAAAAATATACTCGTGAATCTGCATGTAAGCTTAATAGGCTTGATGAGTTATGCATATATTAAGACAAATATATAAAAATATTTACAGGGACTTAGCGATCCGGATAATTATCATGAATTTTGCCGTCTTTTGGCTCGCCTTAAATCGAATTATCAATTGGGTGAACTTATAGCAGTTCCATGTTATCCGGAAGCAATACAGCTAATTGCAAAGTTTACCGTTCAGTCACTACAGGTCGGCATATATTTATATTCGGCCTTATCAGGAACTCCATGTGAACAATTTTTCCCAAAACTTATAAAAGTAAAACAAAAACAATGTTTCCCTATTTGTTTTTGTTTTGCTTGTAAAATCATATGAACAATTTATTCACATGGAATTGGCGATAGGGCTGATTATTATTTGGTTGTAAGTATTAATAGAATTCAAAACTTTCTTAGATGTGGCAATTTGCCCCAAATAGTGTGCACTATTTGCTCACGCTATGGCAACGAATGGTCGCCTCTGTGCCGTATGTTAAATCCCCTGAACCGCATTTATTGGGAACATACACTCCTGAGGTGACTAAAGCTTATATTGAGTCACGTCTTGATGCAGTTCCAGTTATTGTACGTGACAATATGGAAGATCCCTTGGATGATTTGTGTATGGTTCAACAACAATTGGAACAATTGTCTGTGATCGAACGTTGTGAATATGATAAAACATGTACATTACTTGTGCAACATTTTGATCAAAAGGCCCGAGAGTACGAAAACTTGTTGCAAACGCCTAATGCTAATCCTATGGACATAACGGTACATGAACTGCAACTCACTTGGTTAGTTTATATAATTGGATCAGCAATCGTTGGGCGACTAACCGTTAACTCGAACGATGATCATGACACGATGGATGCCGAATTAGTTATCAGGGTGTGTAGGGTGTAAATCAAACGTTTTTCAAAGATTACATTTTTTATTAATTTTAGGTACTACAATTAATGAGCTTAACGGATGCACGTCTACCACAAGCTGGCTGCGAGAAACTTGAATTAGCCATACTAAGTTTTTTGGAACAAGTACGCAAAATGCATATTAGTGAACAAACTCAAAAGGCAAATGTTTATAAACGCCTGAGCGAAGTGTTTGGCTTAAATGACGAACAAATGCTTTTGAGTTTTATTAATCGTAAAATGTAAGTAGACTTTTGGTTTTTTTATGTTTTATATTCCATTCAATAGTTTATCTCAAAATGTTCACATATCCTTTAAATGTTGTTGGATACGTCTTCGATGAACGTACCATTTTTACACAAGGTAAAATAATAGGCGTTTAATTGTATGATCGAAACAATAGAAATCCAATTTTAAAAGTTAAATTATCCTTTTTATTATAAAGATATTTGCTTTATTCCCATAATGGGTTTGTATTTAGGAGAAGTACAATCACTGTTTAGAGCGGGCCGAAGCGAAATTATTTTCATAAGCATTTTGGAGCTGAAAGCAATGCATTTTTGGATTTTGAGCTTTCTATTTAATTTTTGAGGTTCATGACGCCGCACAGTGTTTCGACTATAAGGAGGCAGGTAGAAAAAAGTCATGGTGAGAGTTGATAAAAAAAACCTGTAGGGCTAAATGCTCTGGCACATACAGTTTACGTGCTGCTTTGTCGTTGGTTTTGTCGGGAGGTGTCTCCCGCATGCCGGACACTCATTTGGCACATCTGCATCTAATCTGCTCAGGTATGAGTTCAACCTGCTGCAGTAGCCAGAGCGAAGTTGGGCAGACGAAGCTCCGTCGATGGGCTGACGGGTCCAGAGGTTGCCTCGTCATGTAGGTGGTGTTCTAGCGACATCTGAAGACATCCGGTTGCTGTCCGAGGTGCTGTGTTCCTTCTACCTTGTTGAATATGCTTGGTTAAACATTAAAGGTGCGTACACACAGAAAGCCGAGCGGCGCCGAGCGAGGCAAGGCGGAGGTGAAGATGCTGGTGTTCACAAAGAACGGGACGGAGCGGGAAAAATATAACATCAAAAAATGCTTTGCTTTCAACTGCAAAATTCTTCTAAAAAAGCTTACTGTATGAAAACTTTCATATAACTAAATTAATATTCACTCAGCTCGGCTCTGCTTCCTGTGTGAGGGTACGTTCAGCAGCATTTACATAAGGCGATTTTGTAAGTGATTCAACATGAAAAGTTGGAAGCGTTTTTATCGCTTTCTAGAGGATATAAACACAATTTACATAGATCTTGTTGAACGCGATGTTGAACCACTTAGAAAATCGCAAGGCGGAAGAAAGCAGAAGGATAGCACAAAACTTGCCGCTAATGAAATTCGCAAAAATATTTGCCTAATTTTATTCAAAAGATTTTTGTAATATTCGTTTTTATTTGAATATTTTGATATCTTGTTTGCAGCAGCGTCAAGAAGTTGAAAACTTAAATTGGAAATTCAAAATAAAAACCCGCTTTGCTTTCAGCTCCAAAACGCTTCTGAAAAAGAGTGCAAAAGCTATAGCAATTTGAAAATATTGTAAAAAATAAAAGTGTGCTATTTACGTGAGCGCCACTGTATATGTAAAATATATTCCTTATTCTGACTTTCTTCTCAGTCCTAGTAACTATCGGGTTATCGGATGACCGTTGAGAAATGCATATTCGCGAAGCATTTTAACAATGCCGGGATTTCGGGATACAAAAATTCTAATCCCGGGATCGAGGGATTTTTATTGAGTCCGACTTTATCAAAACTTTTGTATTTAACAGTAGGTTCGCCTTTTTTAAACCACACAGATTCATTGCCACCGTTTTGGGTCTTACATGGATCATAATGCACCTTAGTAAAAGAGTCTGTAATTTAATGTCTAAATATTTTTATAGTTTTCTTAAATATCTATATTAATTGTAAACACCCCTTACTAATATCTTCAGAAATTCAGTTTCCACAAAACGGCAAAAAAATAAAATGAGGAACAACTCTTCCACACTGTAAAATCTCGTTGTATTTTCAATTGCTACCAGATTTTTCGTTATTACACAGTTATTGCGGGGACATGGAAAAGTGTCCGGGATTGCGGGATTCTGGATCCCGGGATTGAATGCCCTATTCATATTCATATTTCATCTTTATTCAGTCTATGATTTACAATCTTACATACATACATACGTAAAATTTCATA